TATATATATTTATTATAAATAAAATACTTCCAACTTCATCACACAGTTGCAATTTATTCTTCTCAATCCTGAAAGTTTGGATTATCTTTTTTTAAATCCAGGCTTTCCAAAGTAACCATCTTTTTTTCTTGCCTTTCATGAGTTTACATTGCAAAATGCTCTTCACTAGGTTTTAAACTCATTTGGACATTGAGAGGTAGGGATGCTAAATTTAAATTAATCGAACCGTCGATGGAATTGCCAATGACTACTGGATTAGTCCATAAGGACGCCTCCATCTTTGAAATGTAGCAAGAGCCTCGCTGGTGGAAGCACTGTGGGAAGCATGGGGCTACTGGGGGAGTCAAGCAGTCCCTTGCTGGTCCTGTGCTTTTGAAATGTACAAGGGCCTTCTGCTTTTGAGATGTAGCAAGAACCCTACCAGTGCTGTGGGGAACCAGTTCTTAAGCCACTTCCCCCCAGTACTGGCTCCTGTTCCTCCCCCCCCCCTTTCTCCACTGCCTCTCTCTGATAGAGGCAGCAAGGGTGGGCGGGAGGAAGCAACTAATTGAGTCACTTACATCCCTATTCAGAGGTAATGGGTTACTGAGGCAAGAACACCTATACTGCGTGGCTATTTGGCACACACTACAACCAATCAGCTGTTTAAAAAAAAAAAAGGACTGTTTTGCTTGGGATTTGGAGAAAAATTAACCCAGAGTACAAATGAAATGCCAGATGTCATGAAAACTTAATCATCTGTAAGTGACACAAAGGAAACACAGCTAATATATAAAAAAGCTGTATTAATGTCTAGTCAGCAACGGCAACATTTTCTTTAAAAAAGAACTTTAAAGCAAAACTGCATAGTGATTTATTGTTTCCCCAGATACCCATTCCCCCAGCTTTATAATTATAAACCCATTCCCCCAGCTTTATAATTATAAACAGACAGGTATGTACATATGAGGAAAACCAACAGTACATATGAATGTTTTCATTAAAACGTTTATCAAAAAAAATCTCTCACCTCTACACATTTCTGGAAACTAAGATAAAGGAATCTCAGTCAATTTATTCTATCATGAATAGTTTAATTTGCTGAGTGTTTTCTTTAAATAAAGAGGTCTGTGAAATTTAGGAATGTGCAACCTTAATGGAAGTAGAAGAAAAAGGACTGAGTATTTCCAAAGCTGGTAAAATGTAGATAATTAAAATTAAAGTATCAGTATACAATAAATTGGAGTTATTCCTAGTTCTTGCTCTGAAGCCTGAAATTAAGGTGCCAGTATGTGATAGAGCAGATTAGTTTAGAAGATTATGACAAAATATTTGCAAATGGATAGGCTGCCAAATAAGACTAGCAAACCCAATATGGCTGTCCTCATCAGATAAATACTGTTAAAATGCAGGAAAAAAAGATGCACACATGAAAGATAAAATTGTCTTCTGGATATGTAATAGTATCTTCAGTGGTGGGTCAGGAGGAAAATTCATAGCTCACTGGGAAAGCTACTTTTACAGGGAGGTGAAAATATTAGAAAAGTCAATCCCACAGAAGACAAGTTCCTAAAGGGGCAAAACACATTTTCTATACAAATTCAAGATACATATGTAAATGCAAAATCATTAACTCAGGCACACTCAATTAAGCAATATACTTAAATGTGTAATTTTAAACTTCAGTGCAGCCATTTTCATTCTTATGTATGTGTACATGCTTAAGTTGCTTTCTGAAAATTCAGGCTCAGCAAAAAAGTTAGAATGCACAGGAAATAAGGAAATGCAACAATTGTAAGTATCTTCTTACAGATAGAGAAAATCTGCATGCAAGGTAATTAATTTACTATAAAAAATTAAAACAAAATTGCTCTGCATGAAAATTAAACTGAATATCTATATTTGGAACTATTTTATCAAAACAAATTATTGATAAACCTGATCCTACATTTTAATTGGATCTATGGAGGAGAACTCTTACGCCAGTACAAGTTGAACTGCAGGGCAGGGCCTTATTTTAAGTACTTAATTTAATTTCTACAGAGATATTATTTATTTAAATTGTTGGTTGAAAGTAAAACGTACGTGAACTACAGTCTTCCGCTGCTCATAACTTGGTCAAATCAAAACCAATTTTCAGTGGAATATTCAAAGCATCTTTCCACCTTAAGATCAACCTCTATGCCCAATTTCAAATGTCTATTTCCAAGTTTTTGAATCAGAGCTGCTTTAATAAAAGCTTTAGAACACTGAATTTCCTAAAGTGTAAGGCCAGAAGGTTTACTTAATTGTGTATCTTTTTTAAAAGTTATATACCATTATGATCATCTAGTCTGACATCCTTTATAGCACAGTTCATAGAACTTCATCAAAATAATTCCCAGTACATATCTTCAAAAAAAATCCAATCTTGATTTAAAAAGCAAGTGATGGAGAATCCAGTGTTCCCTCTAAACTGCAGGCCAGCACAACTTCATAGGTGATTAATCTGCACTGCCCAGTCAGAGGCTCAGGGCTCTGTGCGGGATGCTGACTGACTGGGTAAAGGGATGATTAATCACCTGTGAAGGGAACACTGATTATGATCCTTGGTAAATTACTCCAATGAATAATTACTCACTATTAAAAGTTATGACTTATTTCCAGTTTAAGGGAATGAAGTATTTTCCTCTACTGTTCTTCTACTCAAAAACCAGTTGAAACATTTTTACCCAAACTCCTCCCCTTAACTCCAAACTCCCCCAAAACAAAAAACAACCAACTCACCAAAAAAGCCAAAGATCAGACTTGGGAAATAACCAGAAATAGCCAGAAAGGTGAAAAATTGAGAGAGTTTTGAGCAAATGATAAATGCATTTAGAAAATAAATGTTTAGGCACATTAACGATAGTTGTGTCATATACATAGGTGTTAACTCCTCCTAAAATCACAACAAGGAAAGCATAGTTTCCGTCTGTATTTCAGTGTTTCTTATAAGACAAATTAACATTTACATTTACACATCTTTGTTCTATAATCAGATTTTTAGTTTAGTTCCCCCCCCCCCTTGATTTGTGGATTTCTCTTTATTGTTTCCAAAATACTCATGAAAGACATGTAAGTACAAATTGCAGTAACTCAGCAATAACTAAGTTGCTGGACAATCTATATTAGGGCGTCAACTACCTGTTCCACTCAAATCAAGCTTGGGATTTTTTAAAAAAAGTTATATCCCATTTAAAAAAAAAAGGTAACATTCCATCATTTTCCTTTGTCACCAACCAACACATGCCAAAATATCACGCGCTAGAGATCAACCATTTGCTAAATTACACGCGTAGAATGCATTTTTGTTATTGCAATAGTAATAATTTAGAACGTGATCTCAAAGAGTGCAAATTAACAACAGCATCCAAGGAAATAAGTTAGATATGGGTCCTATGCTCCTCTCAAGATCTTACATTTTTGAACATATACATACATTGTATGTCCAAAGAGAGGGCACTGTATGTCCATATTTAGCAAAATTCCAAAATTGCAGTCTTGTTCATATCAGTATTTAATTCTTAAAAACCAAAAGCCATTAAAGAAACGTATGTATTTGGCTTTCATGAGGAAATAGTAAACTTTTCTGGCTATGATAAAAATAATAATAGGTAATTTAAACTTAATTTTCTTGATGTAGGAATCAGAAAAGAATCCCGCTCTAATATCTGTATTTGGATCTTCAATGCTAATGACAGCTCATAGTAGTAAAAATATGGTTTTCCAATAAACCGTTGTATCTTAGAAACACGGGGCCATATTATGCTCTCAATTACACCGGCATCTAACTTTAGTAATTGGATGGAATTTGAGTGACAGAAAAATCTGCTGATGGAAGAAAGGTATAATTTACGTTTGGGCATTATCATTTTCACAACTAGACTTCAAGGATGATAATACTACATGAAGTGATAATAGGAATTGTACACTGGATATGTTATTCCTTTCATTAGCATAGAAACATACCCCTTTACTTTAATAGAGCAAATTTTATCAAGTCATACACCTTAGTATTTGAATGAGCAAACACAAAAAAGTGGATCATAGTTCCTATGCCACAATGCATCAAAGGATGTATTTGCCCCACGAAAGATGTAGGATAATTAATCAAAGCTAAGCGATTTGTTGGATTCATTCAACTCTATTCTACAACATAACTTTGAAACCTCTTCTACCACTCTAATATTCTACTTCAACAGTGTCTACAATCCTAAGCATCAAAATGTAGACAAACTGCATCCTGAGAGACTAATGCCAGCTGAATTTAAGCAATGGTCAAAAGCTATTATGTAAACAGATTGTTGCAACCTTATTGGCAGCAAATCAAAACAGCTCCACCATCTGCTTTGGTCTCTAATGGCCCTGGAAATGAGAATCCTAAATTCTTTCCCTCTACACAGAATATAGTATTTTAGCTACAGTAATAGATCTGTTCAACTGTTTCAGTATTTCAATCTTCATTATAAAGTATTTCTATTTTTCTGCTATCGCATCTTTTATAATTAAAAAATTATTTTAGAATAGTATTCATCATGGAGCCACTATTATTTGTTTGTTTTTAAACACACCATTCAAACTGTGCTAAGCCAATTTACAGAAATTTCCTCGTGCCGTAGGGAATTTTCACAACAGGACACATTCAGGCATAATACAAAAGAATGAAGAAAATTAAAATAGGCAAGGGAACGGAGAGAGAGTAAGCAAAATGGTTCAAAGCAGCAAGCAAGAGAAATGACTTTGGCAGCAGCATTTTGGCTGCATTGGATAGGAAGAAGTATTTAGAAGGCAAAGAAAACTATGGTACTCAAAGTGGTAGACTGTTAAGGTATTGTCAAAGGTGGTGGAAGTAATGACCAAAAGGCAGGGACTGCTTTGGATATATTGCGAAGGAAGCGGCAATCATTTAGTTTATATCCTAGTTTGTTATTTAAAAACCCTATTTTTCCACTCATCCAACTTTTTAAAATTCACGTTTAAATTTCTCATGAATAATAAAACTGGCAAGGGAGAATCTGAGAAACTTTAAAGAAAATCCTAAACAAGTTATATTTCAGATTTTAGAATGAACATTTCTCTGAAATATAAGCATCTTTTTTGTTAAAGAAGCAGTCTTTATACTTCAAAATCTATTTTAGTTACCTAGGTGTCTCAGAATTCTGATAGATACAATTTTCAAGTCTTAAAGTAAAAATTCTTCAGTGTTAAAGCATTAGTTTGCTAGATGAACTATTGTCATATGCATTGTAAACTTCTTAATGTTGCAGTATACTGGCAGTGTTTCTGACCAGTAAAAGTGGATTGTTCATATGCCAGTGGGGCTTTAAAGTGCCACATGTCCTTTACTATGCCAAGACCTGGTGTGTGCATGCACCACTAGCTTGGACAAAAGGTCTGGTCAGTTACAAACATTGATAATACATCAACACAATTTCTTGAAACCATTAATCAATTCCTGTAGAACATCTTGTAGTAGTCAGAACTATTTACAATTGTCAAAGAGCTTAGTTCTATTGGTGTTTCTGTAACCTGTTATCAGGTTACTATTTTTTCCCAACTCCTTTAAACTGTCATGTTTCAACGTAGTTATAATTATAACTAAATAAACTTTTAATAATCATGACCCGTAAAATGCATGACTCTGGAGAATTACAGGCCCTAATGACTTGCTAATAACGAATGCAATCTCTTTGAGAGCTGCAATAAATAAGTCATGATTCTATTTGCCCAGAATATCAAACTGTATGATCATGCAAGCTCTGTATCAACTTGTAACAGCTGTGGACTAGTTCTATGGATATCCCAGTTGTCACAGGCTTCCACACTTAATACCAGACTACTACTGGCAGGTTTTTAAAGAACAGGTAAAGAACATTAAGATGGATTTAAGGGTAAAAATGGTCTTCACTAAGCAAGAACAATGAAAGGATATCAAACTTCATTGCGTTTCCCTCACACAGAATATACTCTCTCTCTCTGCAGGTGGGTTACCATAGGTCATTACACATCCACATTGGCATTCAAAAACAGAGCCGAGCTCAAATTACGACAATTGCACTTAGTCCATCATCTTAGTCATTAAATAGGACTGAAAAATACACATCTCAAAATATTTATTTAAAAGATCACTATATTGCTATTTGTTTAAATTATTAATTGGGCAGGCTAAGTTTATTTGTTTCAAATCAGTATCATAATAGTAACTCAATAAGGGTTACTTTAGATGTAGCATGAGCACATAGGGGACAACTGCACAATTTATGAATATTTTTATATTAACACGACAAAAAGTCTCTTTAAACATAACAAACAACTTTTATTTCTAAGTTGCATTTTAGGGATTCATCACTAGCTAGCCATTAATAGAACATATCCACTCCCTCATTATGAAAAAACTGATTAGAAGATGTTCTAATACCAGTCAAAAATCACTATTTATATTGATGTATTAATAGCATTAATTTCTTCGGGGAGGGGAGGATTAGTGATAAAAGATTAGAAATCCAGCTATAATCTAAGAGTGACACACCAATATAGCAAGGATCTCAGAAATGTAAGCTGATTGTGTTTCCTACTGAACAAACACATTATTTCAGAAGTCGAGACTATGTTTTGTAAATATAGTACTCAGCACCTAAAAGAGAACTTTCAAGATCAGTAGCTGCATTCTATATAACTGTAGGTTCAAAACTCAATAAATGAGCACTATTTGTAAAAATACACATAGTCCACTTCTTGCACGCTGCCTTTGCTAACAAGTATGCATGTATATCATTACTGTCAAGAAAGGGAAGTATAAAAATCATTCATTTTATAAAGGTTCCTGTTTGCAAATTTTGACAAATGTTTTCTAATTAAATTTCAGTTCATATTTTACTTTATGACCACTTCAAAAGTAGACATTATAGCCGTGTTGCCCAACATGCTAGCCTCTAGCCACTTGTGGCTATTTGTCCGGTTGCGTGTGGCTAATTTGTTGTAGCAGTAGTCACTATAGTGGCTACTGCTTCAGAACTGGTTGGACACCATGGCACTATAAGGAAGAAGTAAGCCAGCATCCAATGTTTGGTAAGGCTATACACAATAAAGTAGTTATGAAATGTAAGTTGCATTAATTGTCTAAGATCAAGATGTAACTCTGGTATACACACGGTCAAGAAAAGTTACCAAAATAAAAGGTGCAAAAGATCCAAAAATTCATCCCGTTTCACAAAATAGGTCTATTTGTAAAGTTACTGGGGGAAAGACAAAATGTTAAAAAAAAAATTCTAAACTGGAAAGGACATTTTGCAATGTTTACCAGGGAAGATTTATATTTGCACATTTACAATGAGAAAATAAGCAATTTTTATTAGGAAACAGCAATAAAATGGGATCTTAGATATTTACCACCTCTAAGATAAAGCTGCGCGTTGCAATACAAAGCCTTCTTGTACATATGCTACTAAATACATGTTATATACAGCTTATGACCTGCCTATATATTTAAAAAAATAAGTTTAAGCTTAAGGCAGTACTTTTCAAACAGGTCCATTCAAAGACTGTAAACAAGCCAAAGAAGCTGGGCATTCCAACAGTGGGATATATATGATCAAACCTGAAAACAGCAATGAACCTGTACAGTTATGGTGTGAGAACAACCTGGACCCTGGAGGCTGGGCAGTTATTCAAAAAAGGACAGATGGATCTGTTAATTTCTTCAGGAATTGGGACAACTACAAGGTAAATTTGAGAATTCAGAAAGGTAACAGCTTCATTTTGGTGGGTACAGTAACCACTAGTATCTGCTATCAATATTCACAAGATTCTATTTTTCAAGGCAACACTTCATTGCAGTTAATTGTGCTGCAAGAACAACATTTGAAAAAAGAATCAGGTGTAAAATGGTTAATTACTTGAGAACTGACAAAAATTGGGGAGATTAATAAAAACAGAAAAATAAAATCTAAAAAGGAGTTAAGCCACAAAAACTAATTTTCTTTTCTGTGAACTGAGATCATCATATGTAGCTGATCATGTTACAAATTTTACTTCTTAAATGTGCACAGGAAATCAATTAAGGTAACTACGAGAGGTTTAACTTTTGCATTTCTCAGAATCTGATATTAAAGCTGCATCCTCGATGACAACATAATTCATGGGTTTTTTTTAATTCATTCCTTTATAAAAGGAAAAAAAGTAAATTAAGACACTAAAGCACAAAACCAAACACTTTTTATACACAGAAGTAAATACTTCATTCAGATTAATAGCCTCAAAGAGTAACTCTGACCATTTCAGTAGAAAGTGAAAGTTTTGCGGTGTGTGTACACATTTAATTTATTTATTTATTTTAAATCGATGAATTTATGGACCTGAAATTAGCTCTCACCTAGAGCGTTTTGTCGGGGGGAAAAAATTGTAATCCTACCAAACACCACATGATTAAAAACAATGACTTACCGGTATTTATAATAATCCCAAATACTTCAGATGTTTGTAGCAAAATGGATATTTTCTTAGGGAAAGGAAACATTGGCTTGAAAATATTAGGAAAAGGGTGCTAAACCATGAGTTTTGTGATTCAAGACTAATAGTTTTCATTCGATTTACTAGAATTGAAATCTACTGCACACAAATTACCCAATTACATATATAGCGAAATACTAGCCTGCCTAGTAAAAGGTACATAAAGTTACGCAGCTTGAGTGCTGTCTTAGCTTGTATGGCCTACATATACTTCATGCAATGGGTTACTGATATGGTCTTAATAGATAGCATTTATTGTGCCACAGAAATTATTGTTCCAGTATTCCAAAAAAAACCAAACCAAAAAACCACACCCTCACCTACAACACACACACACACACATATATCATGGGGAATCAAAGGTGCAAAGGACCAGATTGACGCCTTCACTCATGCTGATTAATACATTACACTACCAGTAGTCCCACTGATAAAATTAATTCTACTCATGGAGTGAAGTACTACTCAAATTGAATAACAGGGACACAGAGTATGTCCCAGAAAAAATAACTGAAAGGGTAGAGCAGAAGATTAAAAGCCTAACAGTTTTTTAGGTTAGACACAAAAATTCTACTGGGATATACTACTAGTAAATGTCTTCATTCAATCTATTCAGAAAATCCACTAGATTTAACCTCACATTCTGGTTTTCTTTGTACAGAAAGGATTTGGAAATGTTGATGGAGAGTATTGGCTGGGACTAGAAAATATATATATGCTGACCAATCAGGACAATTACAGGCTATTGATCGAACTAGAAGACTGGAGTAATAAGAAAGTCTATGCAGAATACAGCAGTTTTCGTCTGGAGCCTGAAAGTGAATTCTATAGGCTGCGTCTGGGAACTTATCAGGGAAATGCAGGGGATTCCATGATATGGCACAATGGAAAACAATTTACAACACTGGATAGAGATAGAGATACATACACAGGTAAGGGAACTTTAATGATACATGTAAAAGCTGTTCAATGGAACGGATTCTATTGGTAGTGCCACCTTTTACGTAAATAACTGTTTCAAGAAATAATTCAGAAGGTGGAAACTCAGATCAAATATTTCATGATCCAGAAGAATTTAAAGACTCTTATTGAGATGAATTTCTCTTATAGACAATGACTCAGTCAATCCACTCAGTAGTAAAGGATACCAACATGGACCTCAACCCTCCAAATTACTCCATATAGGCAGACACATGCATCTGCATGAAGCCTGTTGCACAACTGGGGACTTACCAGTAGCTATTTTAATTGTCAGTTTCAACAGGAGTAAACAGACTGAATAAAGCCATTTGCTTGTTCCATTCCATATAAAACCATTGCCATTATTCTCAGAAATCATGCCATTTCTCTTTCTTGTTGAGCCTTCACCCAAAAAGTTATCACTAGGTCTATATATAACTTAATACCCATTTAAGCCTGGTTTGGATGTATTAGTGGGATTTTAGTTGTGTATAGGCCAAATGCAATCCTACAAAGGAGCAAACTTCTTCGTTTTGGAGTTTGTTTTAACCAACACGTGAAAAAAAATCAAGACTCCTTACCTATTTTATTATGCTTGTTAATTGACAATGTTATATAACCATTCCCTTGCAGGGACACTTCTCTGCAAATGCTGTACTTACTATTATTACCAAACAACATCTAACCTATAACCTTTTGCTATAACCAAAACATAGGAAAAAAAAGAAATATTTCTTTTTTGTGCATTTTGCAAGGTAACTTTATTGATTCTCCTCCAAAAATCAGTCAGTCTCCTGTTTTCTGGAGAGTTTTCCTATACTGAAAGAGGAGAGAAAAACATTTTTGGAAATAGGATTATTATTAAAGTGAGGCCTCGATGCCACCTACCACTGTGCTAGGTGCTGGAATGCAATTATAAAGACTCAAAGATTTCCAGGATGGATTACTTTGAAATCTAGTCTATTTTAAAAATAGAAATCAAAACTTACTGGGTCTCTTTAAGCACTCTTTTGGTTAGCAGTTTAGAAAAGGCTATTTTTCTAAGGATTAGGGAGACTTATATGTGCTTTTGTATGTACTTCTCAAAGGAACACTAAAGCTAATGTAATGGCGTGCCCTTTGAAAGAATTACTTTTAAATATTTTACAACAGTTTTTCTGTCCCCAACCTTTTATTTTTAAGTGTCTTTTTTCCCCAAGAGAGAAACCAACTGATTATATACAGGAAACAGCAAAACCAAATATATGGAGAGTAAAGAAATGAAGAAAAAAAAAAAAACTACTATTTTTTCTGATCTACTTCATTAGTAGCAACGTTATACCCCAATCCTTCAGAGATTTATTTATGCACACAACTTGAATCACTCAGTAGTCCCTTTTGATGGAACTATTTGTAGGTGTATAAAATTAAATATTTCATCTATAATAAGTGCAGCATTTTCAGATTAAAGGGAAATAATCTAAAATATTTTATGATAAAAAGCTTTAACGTAATATAAAATTGTTGGTTGATTAAAAACTGAAAAAGACTCTCAGAAAAACACACCATGTTATAGCATCTCGGTTTCCAGTACCTTAGAAATAATGAGGACTTAACACAATTGCTGTTGTTACTTTTAAAACGTCAGAAAAGACCAAACACTATTTCCATTCCATCACTGAAATTAAAACCCAAGACGCAAGTCACATTGCTCCCACCACAGTACTTCTAAACAGTTTACAGCACACATTCCTAAACTCGACTGCAGTTCACAGAGCACTGTTGGTAACTTGAGAAGCGCTGGCTGATCGTATGGTACTGGCTCTCCACTTTCATTTCAGCAGCTTAGATATATTGAAAGAAACTAAAAACACATTCAATACTTTATTACTTTCCTATGTAAACAATTATTGCAATTGCAATGGAGTTTAGAGAATTGTAAGTGGATAACATCTGATCATCAAAGAGAGGCAAAATGGTTTGGAAAACAAGCACTCTATTAATATGCAGTTCATAATCCAGTTTGAGAACCTCTCGTCTATCATTTCCCCTCTGGAGTGCTAAGATTTCACTTATTTTATTCTCTCCCAACAGGAAATTGTGCCCATTTTCACAAAGGAGGCTGGTGGTACAATGCTTGCGCACATTCTAACCTTAATGGCGTGTGGTACAGAGGAGGCCATTACAGAAGCAAATATCAGGATGGGATTTTTTGGGCTGAGTACAGAGGAGGTTCATACTCCCTGAAAGCAGTTCAGATGATGATCAGACCCATTGACTGAAAAAAAAATACCACAACCAATGTCTCAAGTATTCAAATATTAAAACTTTTCAGTGTTTGAGCTTCAGAAAAAAAAATTACTTAAACTTTTATTTTGCACAATTTAGCCCTGCACTGGGCTACCACTATTTGTGGTGTTTTGCTTTTATAAACTCTCACTGTGATACAATAAGTGATAAATATACAGCATATAATAATTTACAAAACATCAAAGGGTTTAAACATTTGAAATAAAATATTTAACATGATTAAAGCCCTACATGTTACATTAATTGCAGCCATTAAAATGATTAAAGTAGTCTTTAGGCTACAGTACAAGATTCTCCAAATAAGTTCAATCTTTAAATGTAAATATTGAAAGACTGAAAGAATTGTTTAGTTTAGAAAAGAGAAGATTGAGGGAGGACATGATAGCAGTTTTCAAGTATCTAAAAGGGTTTTACAAAGAGGAGGGAAAAATTATTCTCCTTGGCCTTTGATGATAGGACAAGAAGCAATGGGCTTAAATTGCAGTAAGGGAGGTTTAGGTTGGACGTTAGGAAAAACATCCTGTCAGGGTAGTGAAACACTGGAATAAATTGCCTAGGGAGGTTGTGGAATCTCCATCACTGAAAATATTTAAGAGTAGGTTGGCTAGACATCCCTAGATGGTGCTTGGTCCTGCCAGGAGAGCAGCGGACTAGACCTGATCGTCTCGCAAGGTCCCTTCCAGTTCTAGTATACTATGATTCTGTGAATATCTGAAACAACTATGTGCCTTATTTTAATATGAAAATGAATTCATTTTCAGTTATTTAATGGGTTCTCTCTAAAAATCATTACTATAAGATTACTTTCATTGTAAATCTGATTGTTATTCTTTTAACATTTACAAATACATGGAATATGTTTTCAAAGTAGACAGAAAATTGGAGAGAAATTCCAGTTTTGTCAGCAGACATGTATTTTGTTGCAAATAAACCATAACAGTTATAGCCTCATGAAGTTGTGAATTCAACATAAAATAGTTGCTAATAACGTAGACGGTTTCTTACAGGAAATGTGTATCAGTTTTCCCTCAAAGCATTTAGGTGAAATGTTTTCTTAGCACAATAAAAACAAAAACCAACACCACAAACACTCTCATAGATGCATAAGTAAATTCCTCAGTGCTCATGTCTTTTCTATTTGTCTCTCTATTCAACACAAATATAGCAGGTAAACAGTGCTTATACATACTAATGAGTGGGGGAATAATCCTTGATGACTTGTAACTCAGACAATCAGCAAAAAAGGTAAAAACAGTTTAATTAAAATATATAATACACACGTGTTCTCAACCTTTTGCAATTTAGGATCCAACTGGCATTTTGAAATAATTCCAATCTAATCTGAGTTTCCAAGACAGAGTTAAAATTTGATTTTTGTAAATATTAGTTCCATGACTTGAACAGAATTTAGCATGTTATAACATATTGGCACTACATAGTTCATTCAGAAAATATGATGTAGCTGAAGAAATTAATGTTAATTACTATGTTAATTGGTCTCTAAACTTTATATAAATGCAGCCTAAGAACATTTGTGCTTTCCTAGATGACGAAAGACAACCAACATACAAGACAAGAGTGATATTTCTAATGCAAATCTGGGCTGATACTCTTGTGATCCAGATATAAGTTGAAGGAAGGGATATATACTTTTATGATCTCATTTCATCCATCCAGGTACACAAGAAAGCCAGAATAAGTGAAGAGTTTCTTCATTTCATAGACTCAAGTTGACTGACAAATATTAACAAAAAACAGTCCCTTATAGAGCACTATTTACTGTTGGCTCAACAAAACGTTTTAAAATCCAATTCTATGTTATGAGCCTCAAAAGTTAATTATCAGAAAAAATTACAAAGACCTGACGTTAAGAACTGAGGAGTTCTTAAATTGAAACATTTACAACAGAATATATGCAAAATTGTGATTATCTCAAATCTGCCTTTATGAACACTATAAGAACAGATTGTTTAGCCTGAGAAATACCATTTAAAGATTAAAAAAAAAAATCACAGTAAACAAGCTTATATCACAATTTAAGAGATGTGTGAAAATCCCATCACCACATCTATAGAAGATTATACTGAAGACAGAAAAGTTCTGCACAGTATACACATGGCAGCTTACACTGTAATACCTAGTAAGAGTCAGAGTTGTAGACTAAATTTTATCTTGCTTATCTGTTATAAAGACATATTGTATCTCTACCTAATTGTATCTCTAGCTGAATGATCTCATCGGTCTAAGGAACAAAGTATATCTGGGGAATTATAAGGAAGAGAAATTCAGCACTTAAGACAAAAATGGTCATGTACTTTAAGACTTTTCTTGGGTCCTTAAATAAATATCGTATTTGCCAGCTCTGAATTCAGAATCATAGAAATGCAGGACTGGAAGGAACCCTCAGTAAGAAATTTAGCCAAGTCCCTGCAGTGAGATAGGACTAAGTATTATCTATACCATTCTTGATGGATGTATCTCTAACCTGTTCTTTAAAACCTGTAGTGATGGAGATTTCACTAGATAATTTCTACCACTGCTTAACCACTCTAATGGGTGACCTAAATCTCCCTTGCTGCAATTTAAGCCTATTATTTCTTAACCTGAAAAAAAAACTTAAACAAATAGTTTAGTATCACTTTAAAGACTAAGAAAACACGTAGATGGTATCATGAGCTTTCGTGGGCACAGCCCACTTCTTCAGATGACTGGAGGAGTGTTGGAAATCCAGAACCAAGAATAAAAAAGAAAAGAAGGGGAGGGGGGAAATGTAGGGGGAGAGAGTGGGTAGATAAGTTTCAAAGGGATAGCCAAGCCAGTCTAACAGGAAAAACTTAAAAAACAACCAATAGTCTATTAACACCTTAAAGACTAAATAGTTAAATGAGGCTGATAAGAACCATTAGTATGCACTAGAAAAGGAAGAGTACTAAAACACCAGATTCTACACAAAAAACAGGACTATGTAGCACTTTAAAGACTAACAAGATGGTTTATTAGGTGATGAGCTTTCGTGGGCCAGGCCCACTTCCTCAGATCAAATTGTGGAAGAAAATAGGCATGGCCAGAGTAAATATGCTGCTGACACCATTATTGGACCTAACCAATTCAGTTATAAGATCAAGAACACATATTCCTGCTCATCCAGAAATATAATTTATGTTATCATGTGCAGACAGTGTCCATCTGCTATGTACATTGGACAAATGTCTCAGACGCTTCACCAAAGAATCAATGCACACAAAACGGATATCAGACAGTATCATAAAGAAAAAACGGTTTCTTGCGATTTCAACCAGAAAGGGCATTGTCTCAACAACTTGATTACCTGAATACTGCTTCAAAGGCATTTTAACACCAGATTTGAAAGAGAAACCTCTGAACTGTCATTCATGCATGCTTAAATTTGACACTTTACGCCACGGTCTTAATAAAGACACTAGTTACCTTACCCATTACAAAGATAGCGTCCCCAATTATCACCTCTAATATCATTAGCTCACAGACATTTACCTCCTCCCCCCATTCTGAAATTTGATTTGTCCTTTTTATGTGTGTTCTTTTTTTGATTGTATTCCTTTGGTATATATGGTCATGCCTATTTTTTTCCACAATTTGTTCTGAGGAAGTGGGTCTGGCCCACGAAAGCTCATCACCTAATAAACCATCTTGTTAGTCCTGTTTTTTGTTTCAGCTAGACTAGACTAACACAGCTACATCTCTATTCAGATTCTACACAGATATCAAGAATCACTGGCACCTGCACTGTTAGTAGGTGTTAGTACTCTTCCTTTCCTAGTGCATACTAATGGTTCTTATCAGCCTCTTAACTGTCAAAGGGACCAGCTCAGGTTTTCCCTTTGATAGTTATATACCCACTGCCTCTTTATTCCACCCCCCCCCCCCCCCCTTCACATTTTTTCCCTCCTCCCCCCCCCCATTTTATTTTGGTTCTGGACATCCAACACTCCAGTCATTTGAAGAAGTGGGCTGTGCCGACGAAAGCATGTTTCATTAGTCTTTCAAGTGCTATCAGACTATTTGTTGTTGTTTAAGTTTATCCTGTACAGACTAACTCAGCTACCCCTCTACAGTTTTTTGGGGAAAAAAAAGTAAGACACCAAGTAATACATGCTGTAACAACTTTAATCTTATTGAAATCTAGATAAGCAAACTGATAGTTACCTTGACCTGAAACGGGGAGAGCAGAAACAATAATAAAAAGAAGAAACAGCATCTTATGGACAGATGAGAGGCTGTGTGGCTTAGACCAGTGATGGGGAACCTCAGGCCCAGGAGCTGGATGCAGCCTCTGGCTTGCTTGGAGCTGGCACACGTAACAACTTTAATCTTATTGAAATCTAGATAAGCAAACTGATAGTTACCTTGACCTGAAACGGGGAGAGCAGAAACAATAATAAAAAGAAGAAACAGCATCTTATGGACAGATGAGAGGCTGTGTGGCTTAGACCAGTGATGGGGAACCTCAGGCCCAGGAGCTGGATGCAGCCTCTGGCTTGCTTGGAGCTGGCACACGAGGCCCACCTACTGTGGAACTGGAGCACACAAAATCTACTAGCCTCGGCCCCACTAGGCCCTGGTGATGGAAACGTGAGGGAAATGTGGGGAGTGTCTTTTTCCTTCTCAGTTAGGGGCCATGTCAGTGAGGAAGGTTTTCTTTTTTGGGAGGGGTTTTTTGGGGTAGGGGGTGGGGAGGGGTTCGCTTCTCACATGTGCAACCCTGACTGATTTTTGTGTAAGACAGTGGTCCCCAATCCAAAAAGGTTCTCCATCCCTTGCTTAGAGGAATAAGCTTTGGAACTTTGACTTCTGAAGTTTGAATTATGACTCTTCCCTAAAAATCTCGGAACACTACACCCAGTAAACATTATAAATTCAGCTTCAGAAGAGGTCCAAGTTGATGGCCAGATATTACAAAACAGATGCTCTAGAAATCACCCAAGTAAACTAG